GTAATTAGCATAGATGGTTAATAATGAGCATGTTAATTGCGGGAGAGAGAAGTCATCCCACAGCAACAGGGCCTGAAAAGCCATGGGCTTGTGCTTTGCTTGGGAATCAAAATAAACACACCCCACACACCTCCAGGCCCTCCTGCCTTTATTGTTGTTGTTATAACTTTTTATTCCAAAATAATTTCCGATTCCCAGGAAGCTACAAATATGTGTACAGAGAGGTCATGTGTATCTTTCACCCAGCCTCAGCCAGTGATCCATGTAGTATACGTAGGAGACTCTTGAGTGCTGCAAAGGAGCCCTGGTGACACAGCAGTTAAAGCAGTCAGTTAAAATGTCGCTGGTTCGAACCTACCAGCTGCAAGAGAAAGATGAGGCAGTCTGCTTTAGTAAAGATTGACAGCCTTGGAAACCCTGTGGGGCAGTTCCACTCTGTCCTCTAGGGACGCTGTGGGTCAGAATCAACTCCATGGTAACTGATCTGCCATTGCTCAGCACGTAGTGTTGAGATACTCCTCTTACCTCCAGGTCTCAAGTTTGACATGAAATACATGAACTTCCGTGTGAAGGCCTGTAACAAGGCTGTCGCAGGCGAGTTCTCCGAGCCGGTGACCCTGGAGACGCCAGGTGACTGACTCCTACATTGCTCTAGCTCCACAGCCCCACCCTCCCTGGGTCCTGGGGATCAGTATGTGATGAGGATTCTTTAATCAAGGCTCTGTGGCCCTTGTTGCACTGGCCACTAGGAAGCTCGGGGCTCAATCCGAGCAGCTTCCTTAGTCTGAGTGTCTGGTACAGCCTTGCTTTTGAAGCTGGTCCATTACACCTAGGCGGCTTTTATATACACACACTCTCTCGCACACACACTCTTTGCCAACATAGAGTTGAGGGTGGGATGTGATTCCAATAGTGAAGACAGATTTCATAGCCTTCCATATTGACACCTTTGCCTGCCCTGCTAGGAAGGCCTCCTACAGTCTAGCCTAACCCCTTCATAGCCTGGCCCCTTGCCTGAGATTAATCCTCAGTGGAGACAGGCAATGAGTTTGAAAATACTTTCAGACTTGGGAGACCTTTAGGCAGCAGCCCCTCGGCCTTCACTCTCTGGCTCCATGTTCTGCCCCCCGCCCCTCCCCTTCCCTTGTCTCTCTCACTGTGTCTTTCTGCCTATCTGTCTCTCTCTTTCTCTCTGAGCCTTGGTCTGTCTGTCTGTCTTTCAGTCTCTGTCTCTTTGGTTCTTCCCGTCCCTCTGCCTCTGTCTTGGTCTGTCTTGGTCACTGTCTGTCTCTCTGTGTTTCTCTGTGTCTCTCTGGGTTTTCCCCCCATCTCTGTGCCTCCCGCGTCCGCCCGGCCCCAGCGTTCATGTTCCGCCTGGATGCGTCCACATCCCATCAGAACCTGCGGGTGGATGAACTCTCCGTGGAGTGGGACGCCATGGGCGGGAAGGTGCAGGATATCAAGGCTCGTGAGAAAGATGGCAAGGGGCGGACGGCGTCTCCCGTCAACTCCCCGGCCAGGTAGCCTGTCCCCCTCCCTCCCTGAATCTCTGGTGGAGGAGACCAAGTGAACATGGACACACTCAGCCCAGTGTGATGAGGGCTGGGGTGGAGGGAACCCAGTGAGTGAATGAGAGAAGAGAACACTTTGGGCTGGGTTTTGACGGTTGAGTAGGAGTTTTCTAAATGGCAAGGGATACAGGTATGTTCCAACATGAGGGACCCAGTGTATGAAAAGAGCTGAATGCTTTTAGGGACTGGCTGGAAATCCACAGTGGCTGGGGTGGGCCAGGGAAGCCCTCCTGTGGGTAAGGGGAGGGCTGAGCTGAGATGCCCGCCTCCCTGCACCCACCCACAGAGGTACTCCGTCACCCAAGAGGATGCCCTCAGGTCGTGGGGGACGAGACCGCTTCACAGCTGAGTCCTACACGGTGCTGGGTAAGGAGGAGGGTGGGGGAAGGCGAGAGGGATGGTCTGGGTGATGGGTGGGGGTAAGGGAGAAGCCCTTTGGCTGGAGAAACCAAGGCAACAGCTATAAAGCTGCCCTGTGTTGCTCAGGTGCTGGAGGAGTGGGAAGTTGGGAAGGTTTGGGGATGGGGGGTTCATGGGGGAGCCAGAGCTATGGACTAGACCGGGGATTTCTTGGGTGTGTGGAGTAGCTATGTCAGTGGAGAAGCTGAAGCAAGTCAGAAGCTTGGGGAGGTGCTTAGGGTGTGTGGAGGAATCCGTGAGAGCAGCTGGCGTCTGAGGAGGAGCTGGGAGAGCGGCTGGAATTGCAGTAGGAGTCAGTCCCACAGAGCACTTGGATCCTAGGAAAGAGGCTGCAGGCAGTGGAGGAGCCGGGGCTTGTAGTTAGGTGCCGTGGAGTCGGCTCCGAGCGACCCCATGTGCAACAGAACGAAACACAGCCCAGTCCTGCACCAGCCTCACAATCCCTGCTAGACCTGAGCCCATTGTTGCAGTCACTGTGTCAGTCTATCTCGTTGAGGGCCTTCCCCTTTTGCGCTGACCCTCCACTTTACCAAGCATGACATCCTTCTCCAGGGAATGGTCCCTTCTGATGACATGACCAAAGTTGTTGTTGTTGTTGTTATTTGCCGTCGAGTCGGCCCCGACTCATAGCGACCCCTCCTTGGGTTTCTGAGGCAGTATCACTATGGAAGTAGGATTGCCCAACCTTCCATCCAAGGAGTGGCTGGTGGGTTTGAACCGCCAGCCTTCTGGTTAGCAGTCAAGTGCCTTAGGCACTATGCTACCAGAGCTCCTTATGACCAAAGTAGGTGAGATGAAATCAGGCTTTACTATTTCTAAGGCGCATTCCGGCTGCATTTCTTCCAGGACAGATTTGTTGGTTCTGGCAGTCCATGGTACTTTCAGTATTCTTCACCTACACCACAACTCAAAGGCATCAATTCCTCTCCAGTCTTCCTTATTCATTGCCCAGTTTTCACATGCATATGAGGTGACTGAAAATAGCATTGGCTTGAGTTAGGCGCAGCTTAGTCTATGAAGTGACATCTTTGGTTTTTAACGTTTTAAAGAGGTCTTTTGCAGCAGGTTTGCCCAGTGCAATAGGACGTTTGATTTCTTGACTGGGTGTTGATTGTGGAGCCAAGGAAAATTAAGTCCTTGACACTTTCCATCTTTGCTCCATTTATCGTTGTGTTGCTTATTGGTCCAGTTGTGAGACTGGAGACAGCTGTGGTCTGGGCGAGGCTGCAGTGGGAGAAGCAGCTGGACGTTAGGTGCAGCTCGACTGGAGGGCGGCTGAGGCGGCAGTGGGCTCTGGGGAGCAGGAGGACTTGGGGATTAGCTGAGACCTGCACAGCCTGGAGGCCTGAGTGCAGAAGAGGCCTGACAAGTATCAGAGCTCAGAGCGCAGCTGGAGACTCCCCGAGGCCGAGGAGCGTCAGGCCTTCCGGGCAGAGCTGAGGTCCGGAGAGTCACTCTGCTTGGGGAACCACCAGGCTCAGAAGCGGCTGAGGTATGGGAGGATCTGGCCTCCTTCTGGGGCTGAGGTCTGGGTAGAGCCTGGATTCAGAGGATAACAGGAAGGAGCCACTGTGATCCGGGCAGTGTCTGGGGGTTGGGGAGTGTGTGGCCTCAGGTAGACTGGAAGCCTGTGGGAATCCAAAGAGGCATCCAGGAGCAGGCATTGGGAATGGTCTGGTCTCGGCGAAGAACTGAGGGCTGAGCAGCATCTGAATGTGGGGAGGAACTGGAGGGCTGCTCTGAGGCCTGGAAGTTACCTGGAAGGAGTAGCTGGGGCTTGTAGAGGATCTGATGGGCTCAGTATCTACCGGGAGTTGAGAGAGCCTGGGGTGTAACTGGAAGGAATGGCTGGGACCCAGGGAGGATCTGGAAGAACAGCTGGGTGGGATACCCCTCTGCAGTTCTACCCAGACCTATTGCCCACCTCACTGCTCCACAGGGGACACGCTGATCGATGGTGGGGAGCACTACTGGGAGGTGCGTTATGAGCCGGACAGCAAGGCCTTCGGTGTGGGCGTGGCCTACCGCAACCTCGGCCGCTTTGAGCAGCTGGGCAAGACCGCTGCGTCCTGGTGCCTGCATGTCAATAACTGGCTGCAGGTCACCTTCACAGCCAAGCACGCCAACAAGGCCAAGGCGCTGGACGCCCCTGTGCCTGACTGCCTGGGCGTGCACTGCGACTTCCACCAAGGTGACCCTGACCGTCCTAGCCCCCTCCAGCCCCCTCCACCTGTCTCTCTGCCCCCCCCCACCTCTCCCCACTTCTAACCAGTCCCCCACGGCTCTGCCCTGTGCCCCAGGCTTCCTGGCCTTCTACAACGCCCGCACCAAACAGCTGCTGCACACCTTCAAGGCCAAGTTCACTCAGCCTCTGCTGCCTGCATTCACAGTGAGGAGGCCCTGTCCACAGCCCAGTGACCAGAAGGGGGTGGCGCCAGGTGCTGGGGTTCCTGTCTCAGCCTTCCTCCTCCCTCCCTCCTCTCCCCCAGGTGTGGTGTGGCAGCTTCCAGGTGACGACAGGCCTGCAGGTGCCTAGCTCTGTGCGCTGCCTGCAGAAGCGGGGCAGTGCCACCAGCAGCTCCAACACCAGCCTCACCTAGGTTCCGGGCCCCCACCCCACCTAGTTGTCCTTGGAGGCCCCAGCTCTTTCAGTTGGGCACCCTCCTCTCACTTGCTGCTTGGAGCCTTAACTCCTGATTTGGGGGCACCACCAGGGAGCAGGCACCCCACCTTGCCTCCTAATAAAGGTCAAACACTGGCCAGGCCGTGGGGCTGGTTACTTGGGGCTGGGCAGTGCTGCAGTGGACCTCAACCTTCCTGCTTATGCAATGAGGTTTTTCTGTAGGGTCGGGTTCCGCTGAGCTGAGCATCAGGGGGAGGAAGTGGGGACAGGAAGTGGCTGTCGCACGGGCCCTCTCACTAAGCCAAGCGAACACACAGGCCCTGGGGTCACAAGCTTTAATCTTGGGGAGGGAGGATTGGTCTGCCGGTCCCCCGACGTGTCTAACCTCAGTGCTCCAGCGCCCGCCGCCTCTGCAGTTTCTCTTCCAGCTCTGCAGTCAAGTTGGCCAGCCCTACGGGGTGAGCACCCGAGGCTTTAGCTGGGCCAGGCACCTCCATTCACATCCCTCCCACGTCTACCCAGAACCGGCTACGGAGTTTGCAGGGTCCAGTGCAAAATGAAAATGGGGCACCCTGTTCAAAAACGTTGTTGTTGTTGTTAGTTGCTGTCAAGTCGGCTCTACCTCCTTGCGAGGCTTTACAAGGCAGTGACCTTACAAAAGCAGATACCAGGACTTCTGAAGCGCCTCTGGGTGGATTCAAACCACCAATCTTTTGGCTAGCTGTCAAGCGCTTAACTGTTTGTGCCACCCAGGGACTCGCCAAAAAGCATTAGGAATTCCCCAACAGCATGAAACCAACCATGGGCCCACTAAGCAATGGCATGGGTCCCATGGCCGCAACGTCAGTCCCTTACCTGTTGCCGGGAAGAATGTCTGGGCTGTGTTGGCCGCCAGCTTCCTGGCCAGCAGGCCACCATGGAGGACTTTGTGTTCTGCCAGGGACAGGGCAAGTGAGGGCTGAGGCCACCCTCCATGGGCAGAGGGAGGGGCTGGGAAGAGGCCCCCTACCTGGCTTGGGCACGATGGGTGGCTTTGGGGCCTTTGCTTGAGGCTTTAGCAGCTTCTTGGGCTTCAGGGCAACCTGCCGACTAGGGGACGGCACTGTGTGGACAGAGGTGTGGCGTGTCACACTGGGCCAGTAACCTGCTCCCCTTGTCCACGTCACTCCCTACTCCCCCACACACCTCCCACTGTCCTGTTCCAGCCCGTCCCCATCACCACCCCATCCACCTTCATCATTCACATAGTTGGCAGCTGGGGCATCTCCGATGGGGATCACATAGTTCTCGTCCTGGTTGGGCGGTGGGGGCAGTGGGGGTAGAGGAGGCAACTTCTCCTGAGTGGACACAGGCGTGGACGCAGGAAGTGGTTGCTTGGGGCCGCCTGCAGGGGGCGCAGGACCTGGTTGGGAAAGATGATCACCGGACAGTCGGGTCTGAGTGCCACAGGAAAGAATGTGTCCACACGTGTGTGTACATGTGCATTTTGGGGTCTGTGTGTGCCTGTGTATCATAGATATGCATACAGGAGCTGACTTTGCATGAATTAAACATACATGTGGGCTGTGACTTCCCTTTGGGTGTGGACACACGCCTCTGTGTGTGTGTGTGTGTGTGTGTGTGTCTAAGATGTCACAGGGTCTGAAGGAATACGCTTGGGTGCTTGTCCATGAATGTGTTACATGTAATCAGGGAGTCAACTGAGTTGACCCCAACTCACGGTGGGTCAGAGTAGAACTGTGCTCTAGAGGGTCTTCGGCTGATTTCTCTAGACCGCCAGGCTTTCTCCTGAGGGAACTCTGTGTGGACTAACACCTCCAACCTTTTAGTCAGAAGTCGTGCATTTTCATAGTCTGCACCACCCAGGAGCTCCGTGTCATGTGTAAACCAAAAACAAAACCCACGGCGGTCGAATCACTTTTGATCCACAGCGCCCCTAGAGGGCAGAGTGGAACTGCCCCACAGGGTTTCCCAGGCTGTCAGTCTTCACAGAAGCAAAACCCAAACCAAACTAAACCAAACTCACTGCTGTGGAGCCGAATCCGGCTCACAGTGACCCCGCCTTGGGTTTCCAAGGCGAGATCACTACGGAAGTAGATTACCTAATCTTCCTTCCAAGGAGTGGCTGGTGGGTTTGAACCACCAGCCTGCTGGTTAGCAGTCAAATGCCGTAGGCCCTACACCACCAGAGCTCCTCACAGAGGCAAAGCCCAAACCAAACCCACTGCCAAAGAGTCGATTGACTCACAGTGCCCCTAGAGGACAGAGAACTCCCCACAGGGTTTCCAAAACTAATCTTTACTGAAGGTGACTGCCTCATCTGTCTCCTGCAGAGTGACTGTTGTTGTTGTTGTTATGTGCCATCGAGTTGAACCTGACTCATAGCGACCCCTCCTTGGGTTTCCGAAGCAGTATCACTACGGAAGTAGATTGCCCCATCTTCCTTCTGAGGAGTGGCTGGTGGGTTTGAACCGCCAGCCTTCTGGTTAGCAGTCAAGTGTCTTAGCCACGATGCTACCAGAGCTCCCTGCAGAGTGACTGGTGGGTTCAAACCACCAGCCTTTTGATTAGCAGCCGGCTGCTTTAACCACAGGGCCACAAGAGCTCCCTATGTCATGTGTACATGTCTATAAATGCATGTATGTGTCTGTGTGCTTACGAACAGATGTCTGCATTCTTGTGTACATGTGATTGTGCCTTATTAAGGTATGTATATGTGGGCTACATGGAGTTCTGGTGGTGCTGTGGTTTGGCTGGGGACCAAAAGGTAGGTGGTTCGAACCCACCAGCTACTCCGCGAGAGGAAGATGAGGCAACCTACTTTCTTAAAGATTTACAGCCTTGGAAACCCCATGGGGGTGGCTATGAGTTGGAATCCATTCAACTGCAGTGGGTGGTTTTTTTTGGTATGTGGGCTACATGGTATGTAAACAAACACAGGTATATATATGTTCACACATACTGTGAACACCTGTGTTCAGGCATGCATGGCACTGTTGTGCTGAGTTTCTGATGATGGAGGTGGACGCAGTCCATGCACGAGGACACGTGTGCATGATGTATACATATCCACCAAGTACACAGGGCTCCTGCCCAGTACACGAAGACCACACGGCTCACCCCCAGCTCTGTCTCCTCTCCTTCCGTAAACTGGCCTGACGCCCACCTCTTTCCCAAGACCACCTCCCTTTTCCCTTTGCTCCTCCAGGTGCACCCTCTGTCCCCCCAGTGTCATTGCCACCTGCTGAAATCCTTTGAAACCTTCAGCATATATCCCCTCCTCCAGGAAGCCTTCTTGGACCCTGCCCCCCCTTCCCAACTCTAGCCACCACCAGCACCACCCCCAGCCCCAGGTTCTACCCCACAGAGCTAGGAATGTCCTCTGTCCCCTCCAGACCTGCAAGCCCCTAGGGGCAGACTATGGGTCATTTCAGGGTTCCTGCATCTGTGTTCAAGGTCACGCACACGTTGTGCCAACGTGCTGACTGCGGTGTATTTAGATGTGGGTCCCAATGGCTTCCCCCCTCTGCCCCAGTGGCCTTGGGGAGGCAGTGTCACCTGGGCTGGGGGCCGAGGGGACCGAGGACGACACCCACACACTCTCGCCGTTCTCTTTATCCGCCTCCACGTAGCCTGGAACAGAGAGGGCGGCCTGGAGGGGGCGCGGCGGCCGGGCCCGCCCAGGGAGGTAGGTCTCTGTCGGGCGGGGACGGGTGTAGTGCTTACTGGGCCCCAGCTCCCCGAGGCCGCACCCACCTAGCACCTTCTCGTAGTCCTCGTCCAGCAGGAAGGGCACCAGCGCCTTCCTGGTGTGCGACACGAAATAGTTGACCACTGCGTCCAATGAGCCGCAGGAGAACTAGGGGCGAATGGGGCGCGCGTCAGGCACCGGGTAATGGACAGGGCGAGGGGGTGTCCTCGTCAGTCCGCTCATCCGCCCGGGCCCCGGCCCACCGCTCACCGGCTCCTCCACATCGATGACGTACGTGGCACCCTCGTGTTTCACCTTGAAGTGCCGCACTACGGGCGAGCTGCAAGGCCCAGAGGGGCTTCGGCTCAGGCTCAGGCTCCCGGGCTGACCCCAGCGAGGGCCCCATCCCCTGTCCTGACCCCTCCCACGGAGGACCAGCCCCCAGATAGCTCCGCCCCCAGGGAAAGCCCCGCCCCTCGTCCTGAGCCGCCCGGGAAAACCAGCCCAGACTGCCGCCAGGGAAGGCCTCGCTCCATGTTCCAGCACCGCCCCCTTGAACAGCAGCCCCTACTGGCTCCGCCCTACGGAAGGCCCCGCCTCGTGTCCTGGCCACGCCCCCAGGGAGGACCAAACCCCACTGGCTCCACCCCCCAGGATTGGCCCCGCCCCAGACCCGATCCTTCACCAGGTAAAATCCAGCACCACCAGTGCGGCTCCGACCAGGGCCTTATCCAACCTCCAAGGAGAGCGCTGGCCAGGACTCCGCTTCTAGGGCTGATTCTGTCCCCTGGATTTGACTTTGGCCCCAATTCCCAGGGTAGGGCTCTGGCCCGCCCTAGGACCTGCCCCCGTCCCAGCTATGACTCCGCCCACAGGCTGCTAGCTTTCAGGGCCGGCCCCGCCCCTGGATCCGACCACGCCCCGTGGTAGACCACGCCTCGCACCCCGGGCGCCGTCACCCTGCTTGCGCACCCATTGAGTATCTGGCGTGTGGTGACGGACACGCCGTTTGCGTCGCCCCCGCTGGGCCGCAGCAACAGGTTCCCGCATTCCGGGTAGCGCTCCAGCAGTAGCTGCGCCTCCAGCCGGGTCACCTTCAGGAAGCACCTGCGGCAGGCCGCGTCACTCACTTGGAGACAGGCCCCGCCTCCGGAATGCCCCACCCCTTCCCGCACATGGTCACGCCCCTTGAGAAGTCAGACCCACCTCCAGGCGTCTAGACCTCTTCCGGGGGACCTAGCCCCATCCCCGAGTACCTGGACGGTCCCCGAGATCCTTTTTTGCCCCCACTGTGGGACCCAACCCCGCCCAGCCCGGACGCCGTCCAGTCTTGAACCCTAGACCCAGCTCTAGGTGGCCCGGCTCACTGCCCACTCCTTCCCATTCGCCCCACGCTCCGCCTCCAACTGATCCCCTCGGGCCAGGCGGGCCACTCACGCTGGCGTCTCGAGCGAGCGGCGCGCCTCTTCTTTGTCCCGGGCCTCGGCCATCATGTACAGGTGTCCGGGTAGCAGGGTCAGGTTGCATGGGACACGGAGCTGCGAGAAGATTGGGCCCATAGTGACCGCGCGCGGCCGTCAGTGAACGGGCGGCTGTGCCCTTGTCACAGAGGGTAAACTGAGGCCAGAGTGAGGAGGGGGGATGGGAACCCAGGTCCAGGGGCTCCAGGGCCGCCTGAGACCTCAGGGGCAGAGGGGGCTTCCAGAAGATGCAGAGAGGGATTCTAAAGAGAGAACTGCACTTCGGTGATGGGGGACGAGGGGGACCAGGAGACGCTAGAATCTGGACCCACGACCTGCAGGGGCCGGGTAGGGAACAAATGCGTCAAAGAGAAACCAGGAATGTAAAACTGAAATGCATGGCGCTTAAATGATAGCAACGAATTTAAAATGTTTTAGCTCTTTGTCGGCAAGGCAAAGAAATGGCGATACTTGGCCCGCGAGCCACCAGTTTGAGACCTATGTGCTGTAGTCTGGAGGGTTGTTTGACTGGAAGGTGTCCTGGCTGGGTGGGGTTGGGTCCCACGGTGGGGGCAGAAAAGGATCTCAGGGGACCGTCCAGGTACTCGGGCACGGGGAGTGAAGGACGGGAATTAAAGGAACATTTCTGAGGTATCCTTGCAGGGCAGGGAGGGGAGAGAGGACCACTCTCACCTCCACCACAGTCGAGATGAAGCCTTTCCACATCTCCCTAGACTCCAGGCTGTCCACCTGACAGAGGGAAAGAAAGAAGAGTCCATGTGCATGAGCCTGTCATCTGGAAAATGGGGGTGATGAACAAAAGTCCCTGTTTCACACAGTTGTTTTGAAGGTTAAATGTTAGCATAGGTTAATTTAGGATGGTGTCTGTGTTTATAAAGTTTTTCTTGTTGTTGTTATTTGCCGTCAAGTCAGACCCGACTCATAGCGACCCCTCCTTGGGTTTCCAAGGCAGTATCACTACGGAAGTAGATTGCCCCATCTTCCTTCTGAGGAGTGGCTGGTGGGTTTGAACCGCCAGCCTTCTACTTAGCAGTCAAGTGCCTTAGGCACTGTGCTACCAGAGCTCCCACTATAAACTATAAAGAAAGTTCTTAGTAAGTATACACTATTATTATTTTTAATGTTATATTAACATTTAAAAAATTAACAATAGCACAGCACAGTGGCTAAAAGCACACAGAAAAATTAACTTCTTGTGCTCTAGTCCCTCACTGGGCTCCCACCTCACTGGGTGAGAGTCCTCCCTGTGACCCAAAAGGCCCTGCATGACCCATCTGTCCCTCCCTTCTCTCCCCTTCAACTCTCTCCCCCTTATTCACTCTGCTCTGGCCACAGGGGCCTCTTGGCTGTTCCTCCAACTTGCCAAGCTTGGTCATGCCTCAGGGCCTTTGCAGTCTGTGCCCTGAGCTGAACCATTCTCTCACAGATACCCATGCTGCTAGCTCCCTCACCTTCCCCATCATGCTATCTGTCACTGCAATCCCACCCCCTTCCCTTTCCCTAGCACTTGTCTCCCCAGCATTTACCCCCATCTGACACTTTTATACTGTTTATGATGTGCCTTGCCCACTAGACTAGGGCTTTTTGATTGTCTTGTTTACTGCCGTATCCCCCAGAAACTAGAACAGTGCCTGAAATACAGTAAATATTTGTTGAAAAACGAATGATGGAGCTAATGATCCTTGTGGATCAGTTCTTGCACTGGGCACTTTATACCTATTGTCCTGTTTTGTAACTGAGGAAACTGAGGCCCAGAGAGGTTGAGTAACTTTGCCAAGGTCACCATGCCAAGGTCAACATACCATACCAAAAACAAAAACAAAAAAACCAAACTCACTGCCATCGAGTTGGATCTGACTCATAATAACCCCTCCTTGGGTTTCTGAGGCAGTATCACTACAGAAGAAGATTGCACAACCTTCCTTCCAAGGAGTGGCTAGTGGGTTTGAACCACCAGCCTTCTGGTTAGCAGTCAAGTGCCTTAGGCACTACACCACCAGAGCTCCTAACCATCCATGCTGGTGTGTGTTTAATGGTTGGCACAATGGAGAGGGAGCATCTTCCACCAGCCCCCCAAGGGACTTACCTTGAACTTGATCTCCTGGTTCCGGAGGACCAGGCTGAAGTGGATTCCGGGGTCACGTGAGCTCCCCCAGGGAGCCTCATCTGTGAGCTTCACAAATCCTCCCAGGTCTACCTTCTCCACGTGCTGGGGTCACAGGGGCAGGAGGTCTGAGCACCATGCCCATGGCCCCTCAGTCCCCCTGAAGATGTCGCTGCTTGCTTGGCCACGCCACCCACATTCTCTGCTTGGTCCCTGGGGTCAAGGGAGGACCACTTCTTGAGTCCCAATTCTCATCCTTACCTGGAAGTCCCGATTGCTATTGTAGAAATAAAGAGTGAGACCCTGGAGGCCTGCCCATAACTTCCTGTACTCCTGGGGACCAGAGGGGGAAAAGGAGAAGGAAGTGAAGTGGCAAAACGGGGTAGCTCCAACAATCCGACCCCTACCTCAGGACCTCTGCACTGGCTGCTCTCTCTACCTGGATATTCTTCCTCCAGCTCTTGAAGAAGCTACCTTCATCGCTTGCTTTGGGTTTTTGATCAGATGTTACCTTCTCAAAGGCCCTCCCACTCCCAGTCTTGACCCAGCATCTGGAGGGTCTCTTAAAAGCCAGAAGAGAACCTTCATTTGATGGGGAACTCAGAGCAGCTTCCCAGCTTTGGCAGTGGGTGGGCCTAGGATTGAGGTGAGCTAACTGGCTTTATCCTGTTGCATGTACCCACCCACTCTCCCACCCCTCCCTCCTTCTAGCCATCCATCCCCCTATCCATCCATTCACCCACTCATTCATCCACCGACCCATCCACTCACCCATCCCTCTACCTATCCATCCATCCATCCTCTTATCTATCTACTCACCCATCCCCCTATACACCCACCCACCCATCCACCCAGGAATCTCCCCATCCACCTACCCACCCATCCATCCATTCACCCACTCATCCATCCACCACCCACCCATCCATCCATTCATCCACTCATCCATCCACCACCCACCCATCCATCTACCCACTTACCCATCAACCCATCCACCCATCCAACGATCCACCTATCTACTCATTCATCCCTCTAGCCACCCACTCA